AAAATTCTTGATCCATAGAACCAAAAACATCAATGAAAAATCAATTTTAAAAAACCTTTAACTTTTTACCTTTGTTTAGAATATCGTCTAGTTTTTGATTATCGTCATAGCTTCCGTAGTTGAGTTATTACCAAATAAGAATTTCGCTTTAAAAACTAGCAACATAAGTTGGTAATGTTTGTTTCAGTTGCGTTGGGCTTTTTTAATACTAATTTCCTAAATTACAAGTCGCACTGTTATCCCTCACTCTGCTCTGCAATGGATATTCTGCTTCTTGTTCTCACTTCTTCTCAACTCGTGTTAAACACTCTTTGGCTAAATCCGCATTCGCTATTTCAAGCCCTTTTCTCTGGAACTCTCTACCTCCTTCTCAGACTACTTCTCCATCACTTACAAAGACCCATCTGTTTGCACAGTTTATTGAAGAGCGCTGTTGAACATTGCGAAATAGCGCTTTATAAACTAATTGATTGATTGATTGAATTGAACCATTTGGGTTAGATGTTTTTATTTGAATATAAACAGACGTAAGACAAAAAAATTTCAAACGTCGAATATGATAAATTTATGAGTTAAAAATAATAGAGCCATGATAATAACTCATCGCCAGAAATTTTATGGTTTCGTGAATTTGAAAACGCACGATTAAATTGAACCATTTGGGTTAGACGTTTCTATTTGAATTTAATGAGACAAACAGACGTCAGACAAAAAATTTCAAATAGTCGAATATGATAAATTTATGAGTTAAAAATGATAAAGCCATGATAATAACTCATCGCCAGAAATTTTATGGTCCCATGAATTTGAAAACACACGAATGAACCAAATTACGTATAAAAGAAGCGCACTGAAACATGCCTTCACCGTCTTTCATATTCACAGGTAAGTTGTTGGTTGACTACGCTTGACTAATGCACAGCATATTTATTCATTTCATGTTAAATATTGTTAATAACAATGATTAACATTGATTACCTCCAGTGTAACAAGATGCTAGCAGCGATAACTTTGATGTCCATCGGTGTCTTCAGCGCATCTGCTGATTTGCCTGGAGGAGGTAGGTTGCTGTTTCTTTCCATTCAAAATACATCATTGCAAATAACCATTCATTGTGGAGTTTTTATGGACTTTCAGATAAAAGCTGGAAAGTGACAGAGGAACATAATTACCCCGGCCTGAGCAACGTGTGGATCTACGACAGGGATTCCTGCTTGGTGACCTGCTACTACATGAAGGACTGTTACGTTGTTGACTATGACATCAACAGCAATCCTCCATGCTGGATTCAAACGAACAAATTCACCCCCGATAAATCTAACTTGAAGTCAATGGCTGGTGTGACAGATTATATTCTCCTTAATGGCGACGACAAAGGTAAGCAGTGTTCAGAGAATGCCGTTCCAAACAGTTGCTAAAATTTTTTAAATTTTTGTTTGTTCCTTTGTAATGTTTCAATAATTTTTTTTATAAATTTAGTTATTAGAGAGCCGTTATTCCTACACAGCAGAGTTTACAAACAATTTACATCCAAATGATATATAATAACAAAACTATAAAATTATATTAAAATAACATTAATTAATCTAACATGATAAATTATAATAATACATTTTTAACTTGCCATTATCCAGTTAAAGACAATAACTGCTGGGTAATAACTCCCAAAATGCATATTCCCGGCTTGAAGCAAGTCAACTACAATACCGTAGCCTCCTGCACGAATTATTGTTTGAAATTGAAAGATTGTTTCGTTGTGGATTTCGATACCATGTCCAAACCAAAGTGTTGGGTTCAAACCAGTTCGAAAATTATCCCTGATGTGAAAAATTTGAAAAGCAAGGGTAGTGTTACTAATTTCATGTTGAATCCAAAATGCAAGGCCTAAATATCGCCAGTTATTTTTTGATAAATTTGATTAATAAATTTAGAAATACAGAAATTGATAAATTTCAATTGATTTCGGTGATAAAATATATTGGTCATACACATTTTTACCGTTTGAATTAAAATTTTAAATAAAATTACAACTGCTTCTTTTTATAATTTTTTTTTAATGAATGGAAATCTAAGTTTGTATAACAATTCAACCGACGCCCATAACATGTGCACTATGAACTATAGCTAGATATCTATATGTTAACATTTTTTATAAGTTTTCTAGTCAAAAAAATAAATTAAATAAAGAAATACAGAAAAGAAATTGATAAAAAAAATTAATGTATATATGAATTCAAGTATGTGTGCATATTTGTATGTGCAGTTGGTGAAAGGGTCAAAGAGCAGAATTTATATCCAAAGTCAGTAAAACTTTTTAAATGTTTTCAACGTAAAAGACCGTTTTTGAGGAGAGAAAAAAATCAGCTCAATGTTGGTCACATTTGGCGAGACCTGCCTTTCTGTGCAAATATGTGTTTGTATTTAATTTAATTTAATTATAATATATTTCTAAATTGAAAACGATTGAGCTATGATAATAACTTGTCTTCAATAATTTCATAGTTCCGAAAACTTTTAAACGTACCACTGAACCAAATTACGCATCAAAGAAGTGCACTGAAACATGCCTTTATCGTCTTGCACATTCACAGGTAAGTTGTTGGTTGACAAACTTCTTAACCAGTGCTCAGTATATTTATTCATTTCTTGTTAATGGATTTTATTAGCAATGATTACCATTTATTAACTTTGGAAAGTATTGCACATTTCCTTGACTCCGAACAGATGACATTTGCTCGTCTTCTCAAATTGGAACCAATTAAAACCTCAACAAGATCCGTTTAGTGATGTCACAATCCGACTCGGAATGTTTAGCAGTCGGGGCGTGTGAAATTGCAATTAGTACATGCTGACGTTGATCAGGTTGGATCCTATCTTCTGGAAGAAAGCTAACGGTACAGATGAGGATGTTTTACTTGCTTTATGTAAAATATTAGCTCCGTCGAATCGGTTTCTTATCATTATCGCGAGTAGCAGCATGACACAGTTTACACCTCGTTAGATCTGTTTGCCGGTACGCCTCAAACAACGCTAAATTATCTTAAGCAATTGTCTCCGCCAAAATGATTTTCAATCGGAACTAATAATTTCAGCATGAAAATAACAATTTATTGAGTAATTGTTAGTTTATTAAACTGAAACAATTATAAACTGTTGAATGCTTAGAGTTTTTTGAAGTTAGTTTAGTCTACTACATAAAAAAGAAGTTCCTAGAACCAACTCTCTGAATAGTTAGCGTGTTTGCTATGGACCCGTCTGACTAGACAAAAAAAAACAGAACAAATTTGATTGGTTTTTTATTGCCGCTTCGTTGTTATTTTGTTTTCTATCGACCGTGAAAATAAAAAGTTGCCTGAAGAAACGAAAGAATCAATGTAGCCAGTGGCAGGGCAAAGAGGTCTTCTGTTGTAAGCAGCTTTTGTATTAGAAGTTTGACTATATTTTATATTAATAATTACTTTTTTCAGCTGCTGACTTGACTACCTGCTGGACAGTCACCCCGAAAAACCATCTGATTGGATTGGTACAGGCCCCTTACAACGATGTACCATCATGCACTGACTACTGCTTCAAACTCAAGGATTGCTATGCCGTTGATTTCGACACAAACACCAACCCGAAGTGCTGGGTCCAAACTTCTCCTTCGGTTGTTCCGGATGTCAGAAACTTGTTTCCAATGGAGACCGTGTCACCAACTACATTCTGAACAAGAGCTGCAAAAAATAATGAATGAAATTAATAATTTAATTAACTCTCTATCAATTGAATATTTAAGAACTACCTTAGAAATTAAACGGTTAACAGGTTTTCAATTAATTAATTAATTTATTAATTTTTTGAAAGTACAAATTAATAAAAACATTCTTTAAAACACTTAGTTGTAGTTTATTCTCAATTTCAAATTAGAAAATCAGTAAATAAATAAATAAATATCCCAAAAAGTATGAGCAAATAAATTTAATCGATACAAAGTTAATTGCAAAATCGCAACGCATTTTATCACCAGAAAATTTTTTAATTCACTTTCACTAAGCTATTATTAAATTTTTCAATTAGCATTGTTTACATCAAAACAAATGACATTGACATTGACATTGCAAGGGGCTGCTCGCCTTGCTACCCTTGCTTACTTGCCAGGGCCGTCCCAGCGAACCCATTTTAAGATGGAACATTTCCAAGCACTCCTTAATATAAAACAATTGAAAACAACATTAGTAAGAACTTTGAACAACAATATAAATCTAGATAAAATATAATGGGAATATTTTATTCTAACCACCCATTCATTAAAGCGCATTCGTAACAGCGTACAAATTGTTAGTTAAAATGAAAGATTTAATGTAGAAGACTAAATAAATAAAAAAGTGTTTCTTTTGTATAAAATAAATCGCTAAGGTGCATAAATTTCAGTCAAGGTGAATAAATAAGTGATTTTTAATTCACATTTTAAAGTTTCTACTCTACTGCTGTCCATGCAACGACTCTTCATCGTCTCTGATTTGTCAAACAACGACGGAATACATAGGAACAAGATTTTAACAGAAATCATATGAAAACATAAGTTTTCATCATTTTAATAACATTTTACTGCAACAACTGATAATAAAGTTCGATGACTGCTGGTTTTGAACTGACTCACTACCAACTAAGTATTTGTTTGGAGTAAAATTACAGTCAATGATTAATTTTTTTATTCAAGTAGATGAATAAAATATAAAATGTTACAAAGTTTCTTAAGGTAAGCAGTATAGTACATTGTTAATTTTTTTAAAATACAATTAGTTGATTATTTCAATTTTGCGGTAAAAACAAATAATAATTTTTTTACGAAAGTTTCTTAAATGTGTGGAATATTTTATTACCAAATACATTCAAATGCGACCAAGCGCAAAACAATGCGATGGATGGACATTTCTCCGCATGTTCCGATTTACTTATATCAATAGTTAAACCTTTGCCTTCATGCCACAAAGGCTGTACCATCCACAACACACGAGGCACATGCATATCATGTGTGCACGCGCAAGCACCGCATCATTTATACGCGGTCTTTTAGTTTCGGAAAGACAGTATTCAAACCGTGTTATCTCGTATTAGCAGCGTGAACATGGCACTTCTACTGACCGAGCTAACTCGGTGACAATTCAACTGAATGACGTTAAAATCTTTATTCTTGACGAGTATAATTAAAGAATAAAAAAAGCGTTTTATGTAAAATGGAACTCATTAATTAGCTCAACTATATTTTAAAAATGAGAAAATGTTTATGGTTTTTTGTAATAATTTTCATTTTTTTAATTTTCATTCACTCTCTATGATACACTTTTTGTACGGAAACCGCAATAACAAAAAAATTAAAATCGAATTTCTTTTTATTAACATATGTTTATATATGTAAGAAATGTGTTCATGGTGTCGTCTAAACGTGTGTTGTTGTTGTTAACATATGTTTATATAATATTGGATATTTTGTGTGAAAAAATGTCACCAATTCAACTATTCAAAAATTACCTCCAGAAACTGAAATCGGCAAAAAGTCCTTACCTTAGGCTTTTGAAAATCATCCACCCCCTGCAACCTTTCTGGATTTGCCACCGGAGATAGAATTTTAATTCATTTTTCACTTCATACAGCTCACGTATATTTTTGCTTCACCAAATACACTGCTTTAATTATCGTTAATGAAAAACGATATTTATGTCATTAACTAATATTTTATGGTGAGAAAATTAAATAAAAATTTCTCTACAGACAAGTAGATAAAAACTTAACAACCTTAACAACGTCGCATTTATAGTTGTTTTAATTAGTTTTTACTAAGAAATCCAGAATAAATTTTTATATAGGCTTTCTTAATGATCCAATTAAATTTAAAATTAACTTTAATCTAAATTTTACTTCCTGGTATAATTAGCTTAATCATTGATAAATGCGTTGCATCCTAACTAACATGATAAAACGCGTAGACTCTGTAGTATAATTAGCTTAATCATTGATAAATGCGTTGCATATCCTAACTAACATGATAAAACGCGTAGACTCTGTAGTATAAAAAGGACACTCCAAAGTTAAGACCTCGTTGTACTAAGTATCAACTTTTGAAAAGACAGGTTGGTAGTAAAAATTATTTTATCTTCGAACCGTTGTTTTGATATTTTCCATTTAGGGAAAATTTGATTTGAAAAAAATTATTTCAAAAAATTTCAGTCGTTAAAATGTGGTCTGAAATATTTCTGATGTGCGTTGGGGTTATCTGCGTGGCTTCTGAGAGTTGAGTTTACCTGGCGGAAGTAATGAATTCATTCAACTTTTTTGTTATGAAAAAAACTGAATCAGTTTAAACTTTCACACAATTAACATCTCTCTCTTTTTCTCTTTCTTTTCTCTCTCTTCCTCTCTCTCTCTCTCTCTCTCACACACACACATACACGTACCCAAATTTTCAGAAAAGGCATGGAATGTTTCATCAAATGCCTCTTTCCCGGGCTTGTATGAAATAGAAATAAATAATACTGAGTCTTGCCTGTCGTTCTGCTACTATAAGAAAGGTTGTTTCGTGGTCAACTTTGACGCCAGTGCCGTGCCTCCATGCTCGATTCAGGCCACAGACATCATCGTTGACTCTGCGCTGTTGAAATCAAAAGAAAACGTCACTAATTACATTCTTGTCAATGTTGACGCCAAACGTAAGAACAATTTCTTCAAACATTTTTTTGAAAATTTAGTTGAATAATACCTCCAAGTAATTTTTATTTTTCTTCAGCTACTGATAAATTTGTTGACACTAATGAAATGATACAATTTTTTTTCATAAATTGGACAATTTTCAATTTTTCAGTTTTGGATTTTCACTGATAGGATTGGAGCAGGCACCTTTCAACGATGTCCGATCGTGCACGGACCATTGCTTCCAAAGTAAAAATTGTTACGCCGTTGACTTTGACACCAAAACTACACCGAGCTGTTGGATCCAGACGGATCCTGCTATTGATGCCGACCCAAAAAAATTGTATCCAATGGAAACCAACACCAACTTCATTTGGAGTAAAGAATAAAGAATATTATTTTAAAGTCAATTCTTTCAGTAAATAAATTTACTGGTAATCCAACATGAGTTTTTCCCTTCTTCAAAGTGACACATATGTAATCTAAATCATTTATTGTGTTGTAAACATTGTCTACCTTATATACTTATTTCACTGTGAAGCAACTTATATTGATTATGAGAATTTGAGCTCAGAATTCAAGAATTCAAGATGGGTTTTGTTTTGTACAGATTTAGAATGATCGAATTCTCCCTTCTGACTACTGTTCTTTTAATAAATCCAAGTATTTGATTTATTGAATAAAATTTCTTAGATGCAAGATAAATAGGGCATAAAATAAAATTGATGTTAATTAAAACTAACCAAAACAATTAGAAGTCGGCTCTAAAACTCGTTTGTAAATTTGAAAGTCGGTTAAGCTTAAAATTTTTAATTTATTTTTACTCATCGACAATTTGCTCACATTTTTAAAACCACGAAAAATTTAAATATTTCATTAAAGTTTATACTGCATAAATATTTAAAATATTAATATTTAAAATATGAATAAAAATAAAACTCAAATCAGAAACTGTGCTAGTTCAACTCTGAAAATGTACGTTTTAAATTATATATTTAACACTGGCTGTGCTTTTCCATTAACGTTCATTAAATATTGTATCAAAACATAGCCTTTCTAAATTAATTTAAAAAATCTTTTTAATTCTCATCACTCAATTATGTACATCTACATATCAGATATATTAATTGAACCTAAACGCTCCGTTTTACGATCGTTTTCTTGTCATGGATGTATATAATGGATATGGCAAATCTCATATATATATATATATATATATATATATATATATATATATATATATATATATATATATATTCATACATCGGTTAAAATAAATTTTTGCTAAAATTCTTGATCCATAGAACCAAAAACATCAGTGAAAAATCAATTTTAAAAAACCTTTAACTTTTTACCTTTGTTTAGAATATCGTCTAGTTTTTGATTATCGTCATAGCTTCCGTAGTTGAGTTATTACCAAATAAGAATTTCGCTTTAAAAACTAGCAACATAAGTTGGT